TAATAATAATTGACCATTCGATTGCAACAATAATTGTTCCGTTGTTTTACTTCAAAATGTCCGACAGGGTGCCTGTTTAGTGAGACCGAGTTGCCAATGTTTAAGTATTCAATTTGCGAACTTTCCTTAACTTTTGTGAACAATTATTTAGTATAAAAATATTGAAGTTAACGGCAGCCCTTTGGGTTAGTTATTTTAGCTATATATACGTGAATTTAAAGTAAGGTCGAGGTTAGTACATAACATAGTTCTTCATAATAAGAGCTTGTTTCTTTTTTAATCAAAGTATTAAAAAACCACAAGTAGGGAAACACTAAGTTTGCGCAGAATTGATAAAGGCATGTGAAATAGTCTCAAATTTCTGTAAAATTGTATTTTACAAGTATTCAATATCCGCTGTAATTAATATGTATTTAGTGCCGAATTTGTGCAAGGCGAAATATTCCAATATGTATGATTTCAAAATTGTTTGGGCTGCTGAGCTAACTGTTCAAGGCTAGAAGCTGATGGCGTTTAAAGTTATTGTACATTACATTGCAAGTGGTGAAGGTGGTGGTGGTTCGGTTTCGCTCATTTTCAAATAGAGCGAAAAGCACGCAAAGGGAACGTTATGAGCGAAATTTAGTTCAAGTCCAACAATTCACAAATATAAATTTTACATTAAGTGATATATTATATACTGAAATTTAGATTTGCAACATACGTCGGTGCAAATAATATTTGTATAGTTACTCACGTAAATAATGCTCATAATATCATTACGGGTGCACCTATGGACATAATCAATGGGGAATGGAGAAAACACAAATCCATACGTCTATTCGTTACAACCGCTAGCATATGTACATATGTAAATACATATTATTGCATACATATTAACTTTAGGAGCGCAGAGCAAAAGAAATCGCCCGTTATACTTGCCATTCACCATTCAAGTGGAAACGTGGATTCTGTAAATACAGCGCGTGTAATGAATTCAATTTGCTGGCGTAACCAACTCTGGTCGATTGCAGATGCATAGGTATGCGACGCACAAGTTGCTCGCAGTGTGTGCATGTATTTGTGCAACTGTTGCAATATCAATAAATTTGATCGTCATACGCATTGGTATACTGGGTCACAAGGACAAAAAAGCATGAAAAAGCGACAAGCAATTCATTCAAACACACACACACACACACACATCATATATATGTATATATATATATATATACGCATGCTTATGCACATATTCACATATGCAGATGCGTTCGTTTAATATGCATTCCAATACCAACACACGCGCTCATCCATTGACATGCCTTAATGGCTTCTGCTGACGTTAATGTTCGTTGATTCAGTGAGTGCGCTGGCATTATTGCATCCACATGCAGCACAAGTATTGTTTAACTGCATAAATTGCTGCGTCAAGCGATACCTGCAGATGATAATTCGAAAAAAACACAAGCAAAAACGTTAACTTCGGTTGCACCGAAACTATAATACCCTTCACAAATACAAAGACTTCTTACAAGAACTTGATACCGATCGTTTAATTTTTATGACAGCTATATGCTATAGAGACTCGATCTGAGTATTTTCTTCGGTGATGATGGCATCGTTGCCTTGGATAATAATCCATGCCAAATTTCGTCAAGATATCTCGTCAAATAATAAAGTTTCCCATGCAAGCACTTCATACTGATCGTTTATTTTGTATGGCAGCTATATGCTATAGTGGTCCGATATCGGTTTCCGTTTCGACAAATGAACAGCTCCTTCTAGAGAAAAGGAGGTGTGCAAAATTTCAGATCAATATATCAAAAACTGAGGGACTAGTTCGCGTATATACAGATGAACTTATAGACAGACGGACATGACTTAATCGACGCAGCTGATCGTTTGTATATATATACTTTATGGAGTCTCTGACATTTCCTTTTGTGTGTTATATATATCGTGGCGAACTTACTATACTCTGTTCAGGGCATAAAAATGAACTGAAACAGTGAGAAAAATAACAGGTCGTAAAAGCTGAAATGAGTGAGAATGTAAACACAAACAAAGGCCTGAACACACGCATACGTATAACGGCAAATGCTATGACATAAATTTTGCTGTGTGAATTTTATTGATAGTGCTTGCAAGCAATAATAAACTCTTGGTTTGGCTTTGGAACCTACGTTTAGATACTTGCTTTGTTGTGTCCATGGTAAGTTGCATGCTCCAGGGTTGACAAACCCAAATAATCCTTTCATTGCCTCAACCAATGGTAAGAAAAAAATTATTGCGCATCCACAAGCAGTGAGTAAATAAAAGTCTTATGAAAAAGGCATCCACTATTTCGTCTTTTATCGCTTACCAGTGATATACTTTGAAACACCCGTTGTTATAGAGTAGTCAGCAACGATAGTTGTATTAGAAACTCTCTTTTTAAGTGCCCTCGATGAAGGTGTAAATGCACGCTTTCAAGTAATACATAAAAATCTTTTACAAGTGTGAGTAAGCGCCCAACAAATGCGACGCGTTCAACAGACATGATTCAATAGCTTTCTTCGCAATAATAAATTTTTCTTTTATGTCAGCAAAACATCAAATTCAGATTTAGATTTTCAATAAATTTTTTCATTCAAAACACAATAAAAGCATTCGATCTCAATGTGATTCATAAAAAATTCAATATTTGACCAATAATTGCAGCGAAGAAAATACTTTGGATCATATATAATAAAACGTGCCAGGTCATTAAGTAATTAGCTGCTGCTGACGTCGCTGCCTCAAAATGCCGGATGTCGTTCACATTGTCATGTATATGGAGGCGCTTATTTTCATATACTACGCAGCGCGTTGCAAGGAGCCGTGGGGGGCGGCTCAGCAAGAAGGCGAAGCCTAGAGTAAGAGAAGCTTTGCAACTCTAACTGTTCAAATGAAAGCGGCTTCAAAGTGGCAACAAGCGGATAAACTGAATACATTTAACATATTATTTGACGGCACAACATGACAAAAAATTAATTAGTTTAATAAATCAACGGGTTTGATCACACGTAATGAGCGATTAATTTTTTCGCCAAACTTTTTTCTCTCTTCTGTGTCATAACTGCATGATTTAAAAAGCTAAATGATAAAACAAAAAAATAAAAAAAAATAAACAATTTGCTTTACATTTATTTGTGTGCATGGACATATGCATATGCAAAAAGTAATGAGCTCGTTAATTATTCGGATGACTGTGTAGTAAGTACTTGTTTGTTTGTGCAATAAATTTTGTCGCGCATAATTCTCTTTGATTATGAAAGCCATAATATATGCGGCTTAAACGAAATAACTTTAATGTATTACATATGTAGTTTTACGAATTAATAATTGCATACTTTTATGCGCATAGGTTTTTATTTTTGAATCCGCAATAAAAACTGCATTAAACATCTCGATAATCGCGTTAATTTTCGTATTATTTCATCTATCATATAAATCAAAATGATTAAAATCCTAGAACTACTAATGATATATGGTAAGATTTGAATAACATACAGGTTAGTTGAAAAATTTCTATTTTCTAAAGAAATAGCACTACTTGCACCAACTGGAACGAAAACAAATATCTCAGCATAATTTGGAGCGTTCTAAGCAGAATAAAACCGATTTTGATCATCGTTTTATAACTATATATGAGACTTGGATCCACCACTGTGATGCTTAATTGAAACAAAAACGTTTACAGTGGACTAAAGTTGGTTGTACAGCTCCAAAGCAGGTGAAGTCACAACGATCAGCAAAAAAGGTTATGGCATCAGGTTTTTGGGATGTAAAAGGAATTTTGTTGATTGATTATTTGCAGAAAGGTAAAACAATCAACCCTGCATATTATTGCCGCCCTTAGGGTATTGCAATCAGCTGAATAAAAAAATTCGTGAGGAAAGATCTTTTCATTTTTCATCAAGACAATGCACCTGCTCACATAGGTGTTTTAACAATGGAAAAATTCAACGAATTAAAGTACGAATAGCTTGAGCATCCACCGTATTCACCAGATTTGGCTTCCAGCGACTACTCGCTCTTTAGAAACCTGAAACAATTCCTTCGTTGAAAGGGGTTTTGGTCGGGGTTACAGCCGTAGACGGGTATTTTGTAGAGTTTCCGGAAAGTCATTAGTATAGCGATGGCATAAAATTATTGGAGGTTCACTGGCATAAGTGTGTTGTAGTTAAAGGAGTTTATATTGAGTAAAAAAAATATATTTCGTAACAAAAACAGTATTTTTTCATTTCGAACGCAGAAAATTTTCAACCAACCAACCACGAGTTATACACTACTTATCAATACCAACCCGTATTTACTTAACGGCAAAAATTTATATCAAAAATGCCTACCGACTAAGTAAAAAAATATTAAAATTGACGTGGAGTGAATCAAGCTTGCTTCTCTCAAAGCTGCGTTATGTAGTACATAAAATAACTAATGATTTGGAGGCGAACGTGCGCCGGGTTTACTGAATTTGGTTGCTCTCGACATTCTTCTCTTCTCTTAGTTGGACATACTTGATACTGTTATGTGAGCTACCTTGATAGGAAAACAGATTTTTCTCAAACATTTCGTAGTTTGGTAATATTATATAAAAATTTTTTCTATTCTCATTGACTCATTGCTGAAACGTACTTAAATTTTAGTTTTTCTTCAAATGTTGTAATTAATGTATAATATATTACAAAAAATCACTTGCAAGCTACGACATTTCCTATTATTATTTCCTTAAAAGAACACTGGATAATTGGAATCAGTCTAGACTAAAGCGCAGCTTAAGCGCACAACTACACCGTCAGGCAAAGCTAACACCTCAATAATGCTTGAACTAATTCTTGTTGTACTGGTATCTTCATATTAGTACACTTAAAAGTAAGCTTAATAATGTCATATGATATGCAAATGATTGCAGGTGTGTCGTGTGCTCTTTTACTCACCTCAAACTTATTACAGCGCATTAATTCTGCCTTTAAATAATTATGTGTAAGTAAAGGCGTTGATTTTTTAATTTTAACATATACTTTTTATTTTACAACATTTCTGTGCCATCTCTTCTTCCGCTTAATTTTAAATTTCTATAGCCTAAACAAAAAAGAACCCGAAAAACATTCAAAATTTCAATACAAATAAAAAATATTTATATATTGGTATTTATTTTCACTAACTTAACTAACTAACTTTTGTTGTTTTTTTTGCTTTATTCATCTTATAAATACTTGTAATTCGACACACTGCATGTGGATTTATATGTGACTTACACTAAATTAATTCTAACAATTAGTAATCATCGGCGGAATAGTGTAACTCGAACCATGTTCAGCTACTATTCCTTCCATCCCCGCTCTGGCCTAAGCGGCAATGGACCGCTCTTTAGTCAATGTACCGCAAAGAGTTCAATATTTGGTTCTCTCATTTCTTTGTATCTTATTTACTTAATTTTACCGTTTAGACTCACAACTGTGTTGTAATGAGTGTTTTCAATATCTTACTTTTCTAGTCACTCGTGTGGCATATAATATATTTATATTTTGTGCTTTATTTGCATTTTAACGTCTCTCAATTTAGAAGTTGCCTCTCATCTGTCTATTTTCGATAGCTTTGCTTCTTTCTAGGTTTTCTTTTTAACATATATACTTTGAATGGATTTTTGGTTTTGCTTTCACATTACATTTAGTATTTTATTTTTAGTTTTAATATTTTTCAACTTGGTAGAGTAAGGTAATTCTCGGGTTACAAGGTTTCACATTTCAAAAATTCTTTACTTTATTGTTTTGGTTTAAGTGGCTATAATTTTACCTACATTCAACATCTGCGTAATATTCTCTTACATGTAAAGGTGTATGTATGTATGTTTATGAGTAGCGTTATTCGCCAAACCGAACTGCTTAAATTACACTACACAATTTCTATATACATCTATATATATGTACATATTTATTTACATTTTTCAAAAATACAAGGGGTTAAATGGCTGTTTTTTGAACTTCAGAAAACTACGAGATCTAGGAACTTTCGAGGGAGTTAAAAACATTCCATTGCAAATTTCATTATTAGCATTACTGCAGAACATGTTTGGAGGTATGCACGCATAAACTCATTTCGATTCAACAAAACTCAATTCGCGTTACTTATGAATGACGTTTTCATGTTATTTATGAAGGACGACTTCGCTAGGCGAAGTACTAAATTTTACCCAAAATATTTGGATTTGCCATCAGTTATATATTGGTATTATTATTAATTAAGCAACAGTGATGCTGCTAAGGGATGAATTCAATCAATTGACGCTCAAAATTCACACGCCGGCCGTAATTAAAATGTAAATATTAACTTATTTTTGTATCCTGCAGGACAATGAAAAATTAATTGAATTATTCTCGTAATTTAAATGTATTCATAAATTTCATGCTCCAGTTATCAGTGGTTGGAGGCATGATACCAAAAACTAAACTCCCCTGTGACATTAAATTCGTGCGAAATATACCATGCGCTTATTACAAAGGAAGTAATCAAGGAAGTACCAAAAACAAAAACGAATATTTAAAGCAAAATTAAATATTAAATATTGTCATTGGCAACATTATGGCCTACTTTTATTATTGTGGCATAAAATTTGATGATATTAATAAAATTATATTTCCCTGGAGCGAACAAATTCATATGCATACGATATGCATACAAACAAAATGCCTTTTTGCATAAACGTTTAAAAGAGGCAAGTGTGCGAGCAGCAGCCGCGTTTGTACGTGTTTAAGTCAGATATAAATATCAGCTCGCGCACATTAGGGCTGCCAATTAATTAACCACATCAAGCTTTTAGGCATACTACAAGAAATATTCCGTGTAATTTTAACAGTATTTTTTAAATGTGTTTATATAACTGTTGGTCATACAAATATTTTCGAAAAAATGTAAAAAACTTTAATCCAAACTTCAAGCTTTAGTATTGTGAAAACAAGCAGTAATTTGTACATGACGCCGAGTCAATTATAAGTTGCTTTTCGAAAATACATAGTAAATTACCTTATCGTACACAAAATTGTTTCAGAATTAATTTCCAAACAGCGCGAAACAGCCTCTATCACAAAAACGTGAAATATTTTGTGAACATTTAAATAAAAATTTACAAAGGTCTTTTATGTACGTGTACGTGCATACTTTTTCTTGTAGATTTTTGTAGTAACTTCATATTTTACCACAAAAATTGTGTGTACATGAAAAATATGGGCACACTTGAAAAACAAGCCCCACTTGTACCTAGCCTCTTTGCCACCTTTTAGAATGCTCACCCAAGCGACAAGGGCGCTGCGTGAAATTATGCCCTAATGTGTTTTTATGAACGGAGCTGCAAAGGACAATTACTTGCATATGGGTGCATAAAAATTTTACTAAATTATTGCCACATGGAATGAGGAAATAAGTGGTGGAGGGTGTGCTTGTATGCGCACGAATTTCATGCATGGCCACGCAAGAGCGCTTAGAGCTGGCGCTGCTTCCGCTTACAAGTACTTGCGCGCTTATGTACACACGCGCATGCATGTGTACGCGCACAGGCACAGGAGCCTATACCGAAATATATGCAGGATATGTGAAAGTGTTTAAGGTGTTTAAGTGTATGCGCGCGTACATTTGTCGATTGGAGTGCCAGTGCGTCGACGCAATGAAACAGAGCAGAAAATTATGCGATGATAAATAAATATGTGCCTGGTTCTAGGTATTAGCAGGTAAGCCACCGCACTAAAGTAGCTTATAGTACCGGGGAAGCTCTCATGCGCATTGGGATTTGTAATTCATGATTCAAGTGCCCAAAATAATTTGGCTGTCACTTAATAAATGCAAAATTGGTTAAAATTGCTTTTCAATTTAAAAATTTGTTTTTTATTATATTATATTTCCAAGTTTATTTCATTCCCGTCCATTCTATTTTTTAATTTGCTTTGTGTACAACCTACGATACCCAGGGGATGTGTTTTTGTACACATGTATGTATGTAAATGTGCTCATATTAGATAGGCAATGCCGCCCATACAGATTCTGGCGGGTGTACATTTTCCACAAGCACCACTTCAGGCAAAGACAATTCCCATCTTAACTTCTTAATTCTTATAACCGTGCTAAATGGTACTCCTACTTTTTCATTTAAGCTAATATTTTAAATTTTCAGGCTACAAAACAAATTAAATAAGTTTTAACATAAAATAAGAAAAAACGTTAAACTCGGCTGCACCGAAGCTAAAATACCCTTCACAGCTGCATTTTTCTAGCATAAATGGGTATAAAAAGTTCTGTATCTTGACTTTGAGCCGTCAGTTTATATAACAGCTATATGCTATATGGGTTCGATCTAAACAGTTTGTTATAGGATTGTAGCGATGCACAGAATAATAATCTATCCAAATTTCTTGAAGATACAAGCACTTGAGTTCGATCGTTCAGCTTGGATGACAGCTATATGTTCTTGTTATCCGATACTAGCAATTTCTTTGGAGATTGCATTATTGTCTTATTCATAATCTAATGCAAATTTCATGAAGATATCTCATCTCATCTTTACAAGCACTTTAGTGGTCCGATATCGGCGATTTCGTTAAACGCGCAGCTTCTTGGTTAGAAAAGGACGTGTGTAAAATTTCTGGTCGTTATCTCATAAACTAAGGGACTAATTCGCATATATACAGACGGACAGACAGACAGACATGGCAAAATCGACTCAGCTCGTCACGCTTAGCAATAATATATATACTTTGTAGGGTCTTCGACGTTTCCTTTTGTGTGCTACAAACTTCGTGGCAAACCTTTTATACCCTGGGTATAAAAAATAAAATATATGGAGAAGAGTAATGAGCCGCTTAGTCTTTGGCGGTGAAGCAGTTCTGCATTTTTACTATGTTGAAAATGAGTTAGGAAATGTAAGAACGGACAGTGCTCTCTAAAAATAATACGAATTTTTCTTTAAATATTAAAAAGTCCAGCCATAACTGATTAAAATGCTCGTGTAAATATTTAAACCATTTCCCCAAAAGTACTTTCAGATTTTCGTTGCTTGCAATACTGTTTGAAATTTATGTGCCTAATAGCACTTTATACTCTTTACAAATTTGTAGCGTTTAATTTAATGTTTTTCACCACACACGAGTATAAGCCATATAAATGCTAATCTTTATCATATACATTTATAACGAGTGATTTAATTACAATTATGATCTCATTAGTCGTACAATCAGAAAATGCAAATGCGTTGTTTACACGAATTATTGTTCTTAAATGCTACGCAGCACAGTCAATACATCAATTATAAAGTGTCGCATGCGCTCAATGATTCAGTTATTTTTCATCACCGATTTCTATGCTTGTCTTTTTATATTTGTCATTTTATATGCATTCAAAATGTGATTTGGTTAAAATGCTATTTGCGCACTGCACCCAGGCATCATGAAAATGAAATTTGCGTTTAAACCGATCAAATTACAATCCAAATGAAGTCGTATTAATGTCTGTCATACGAGTCCACTTCCATGCGCTTCCAGGCAACGCAATCACAATAATTGAATATTAAAATTTATCAGAGAGACTAGCAACTGTTCACCTTTCTGTGCATACTGAGCGATTGGTGAAACAAAAGATTAAAAAAAAAAACTAAAACAATAAAAAATACACATGCCTACATATATACAATTACAACTACAATCACTAAATGTGCAAAATCGCAGTCGATACACTCCTCTACATGCCATTGTATCTGTTCATACTCGCTTATTTGCGCGCTTTTGCTCAATTTTGCAATCACCTGAGCAATGAAGCGCTAGCGGCCCACCGCCGCCAATGCCACCACCAGCAGTAGCAATGGTTCTCTAGTGGCCGTCGCACTTGGTGTCTCTGCATTTGCAATTGTTGTTGCTGTAGTTGTGCTTGACGATGCTGCCAGTGACCGCATTGCAGGGCCCACCTGGAGAGCAACCAGCCCACAGACACGATGCACCAATTTGTTGTGGTCGCGGCGAGCAGTAGCTGTTGTAGCAAGCGCCAGAACAACGTCACAGGCCACACTGTCTGGCGTTGCAGTAGCCCGGTGACCAGAGGATGTTCACTTGAACACTTTGCTGCTGTTGTTGTTACTTTGGTAAAGCTTGCGGCCAGTGTGGTGAGCGCGCGTCGGGTTATTCGTTGGAGAAAGCCGTGTAGTGTATTGGATAGGCGATTAGCGCTGCTGTTGCCGTGTTGCATGGCGGCCGGGTGTTCACCGTTGATCACGTGCACCACCACCGATGCAGAATCTATACGAAGAGAAGAAAATGCGAGAAATGTATTAGTTGTGACAGACAAACCGTTTTGAAATGGCAATGATCTGGTTGTGGTATTTGATTAGTCTGTGTGTTAAAATGATTTGTGAAGAGATTTGAATTAGTGTGGCTCATTGACATTCCACCCACAAATTTAAGAAAAGAGAGAGGTGAGGACTTGCGAGTAAAAAGTATTGCTTCGGAAATATTGAAAATGTTCTCCAATTTGAAAAACAGAAGTAAAAAGGAGAAGCAGCTGAAACAGGGAAGATTTCAAATCTATTTAAAGGCATGGAAAGATGTTGAAGAGACATAAATTCACATTTCTGAGGCAATCTTCAAGAATTTCATCACCAAAAACAGCACCAACCGATCGGATCTACACCCAAAACGAGACTATATAACCTTTTTAGGTTAAATCTCAAAAAATCGGTAGTGACGGAGTTACTTCTAATTGTGTTTTATACTAACGGATGTAAAGAGTATTCAGTTCTTTCCACTGCAACTTGAATGAAGAAACGCTACGAATAAATACTGTAATTTACAGCAAAAGCAAATTTATGCTTCGCGCTGTTCAATTGGCCACTACCTATATGTGTTCAGCGACAAAATGGTATTCCTTTAAGAGAGAACTTTTAAATTGACAACTCGCTGAGTAAAACAAAGATTTCGCCACTTGACCGCAGCGTCAAAATGACGAGCGCGCATAAAAAGTATACAAAAAGTTTTTAAATTAAATTGTGCCAAAAATGAGCGACAATAAGGCGGCTCGCAGCAGCCTGGGGAATACGAAGATAAACCGAGGGAAAACAAAAAAAAAAGTTTAAAGTAAAAGTGGTTACAATGAAAATCCACAAAAAGTAAAACATTGGGAAATATCGGATGGTTGGGGCTGAAGAAATACAGCCGAGAAATCCGACCACAAGTAACCGCGCTGTTCGTATATCAATTCGTAGTATTTCGCGCGCGCGCTTGGTAAGCATAATTCAATTTGTTAAGCCCTTGCGACACCTCGGCATCAATAAACTCGAAGAAAAAATTAAAAATGTGACAAGTGTAAAAAACAAAAAGTTGAAATATTAAATATTTTCGTCCAAGAAAGCCAAGAGAAAATATTATATAAATAAACGTATTGAAGGGAGAAAGTGACAGCCAGCGCGAAGACCGAAGGACGAAACAAGAAACAAAATAAACACGAAATTGAGAAAATAATAAAAAAGAAAGAAAGTGACAGCCAAAGCAAGAACAAAAAACAAAAAATGAACTTAAAAATATCATATCCACCGTTGAGATGCGTAAATATATTTATGTATATACTTGTGTTTGTGGTATATGAAATATTGTGAAAGCGATGAAAAGTTACAAATATTGTCAGCTGTCAAGCCAGAAAATTATGATTTTTCAAACTTGACCTTGACCGAGCGTTAGTGTCTGCGACGTCCACCAATATTCCTTGCCAAGCTAAGAGCGTGTCCATCGTGTATATTGTGTACTCGTATGTATGTCAAAATGTTCACGTTTTCTTAACAAGTGTATAATGCAAGCCGCATTAAGAAGGTAAAAATTTAGATAAATAATCATGCGATATGAATTAAAGAAGAATAAATAAATAATTCGCCCCCTGACTTTAGTCAACTCAATGGCCTAAAGTCCTTCGGTAATGTTGGGTGAGTAATTGAATTTGTCGTTTTCGGCACTAATGAACTTTGCTTGTCTGTTACTGACCCCGCTGAGATCGCCCACGTAATTCTTGCGTTGATGACTTAGTAACAAATGATAATATTTGTAATTGCTGGGCGCACAGTAAGCGCCGTTGATGATATTTCACTTACTTCGAAAGCAAGTAAGGTAAGAGTGGGTCGCTTGTGCCGCATTTAAAATTTCTTTCCTGGAATAAACACAACTGTTCCCAATCTAAATATCTCTAATTTTAATAAATTTTACTATTGCGATCAATAATAGTTTAGTTAATGTGACTACAAGAAGCTGTTGCCTCCGCAATTATTCAGCTGAAATTATAAATTGTGTAGGGAGTAGATTTATGCTCTGTCAGGTCTATTGTGTGCAAGTATTTTTGAAAACTTAACCTAAAAGTGCTTCATTCAATATTCCACTGCAAACATCGAAAATTGTACTAATATTCCTTTGAAACCCCACACCGTGTTGGCGCTCTTACTTAGTTCATGCTTGGGCTTCTGTTGACTTCACTCTGCAAAACCTTTTAATCCAAATGTTCTTGAGACAATAAAACTTTTGACTTAAGCGCAGTTAATGGATTTTCGTGGTAAAACACTTTGTCTTTATTTGGTGTAATTAAGTGTGTGGCGGTATTTATGTGTGAACACAAGCGATTTCATACGAAGTATTCAGATTTGTGCTATATATAGGCACGTACATATATACTATATATTCACACTTGAGTGTAGTGTGTGTCGCAGTTCCTCGCTGTCAGTTCAAATTAATTACGGCACCCGTTGTGTGAGCAAAAATAAATGTGACCGTGACGGCTGCCAATTCCACGTTCGCAGCTTGGCTGCTTAGCCCCACTTCACACACGGATTTTGTAGCACAAACCGGTTTTTGAGAGCGAAGAGACGATAAAGAAAGACGAAGGGACCGTGCCGCTCTGCTCGGGTGGCACGCTTTGTGTTCTTGTTCGTAACAGTTCGCTGCTACGCAATTCGGCATTCCGTTTCATTATGTAATTATTTTCATGGTTGCAATAGCGCTCGGTTTCAAGTGAATACGAGTATATACCACATATTCGGAAATTTGAATATCGTTATCTATTTTTTGTATGTAATATGCAAATATGCATAGAATAAAAGAAATATTTTGAAAAATTGTGAATAAGAATAAAAATAAGATATTAAAAGCAAGATAAAAAAGAATTAAAATATTTAATTAAATTTTTTACAATCTTTAGCAGTATGAAATGTATTGATATATATATGTATATAAATGAATTATAATAAAAATTGAGTTACTTTAACTTTTTTATATTATAGAAAAACTCGACACAAGTCGCTGGACTCTTTTCGCTTGTGTGAATGCACAGAGCGACATCAAAAGTGAATTTGCCGACAATGAGCGACAAAAGCATCCCCATATGAGTTCCATCTTAACGATATGTCTGGTTTTTGTACCCAATGGAATTGTTTTTTTTGTTTTTTTTTTGTTTTGTGATATACCCTGAGAACTGGGAAATATTTACTATGAAGTATTGGGCTTTAAAAATTCTCAATTTTTGAGGATTTTATTTGCTTGTGTTGTTGAGCTTTTATGGTAAGTTCAAATTGTACAAACATAAACATACGCCAATGAAAAGTTTTAGTTTTGGTCTATCAGCGCCAATATTGACTTTGGTAGTTCAAACCCGTTCTATTGCTTTTCAAATTATTCTCTATTTGTACTGGAAGAAGCCGATGATACAAGGTAATATGTGTGAGTTTACAGTTACTTAAGTCAGCCCATGTACTGACACATAATAAGTTTTGGATACGTAGGCACCAACCGGCAGCTGTTTCAAAGACTAAGGAAATATTTTCATTTCATTTCATTTCATTTCACTCATCAAGTACAATATAACTACAATCTGACTGGAATAGCTAATACAGCACCATCTTCTTGTATACAAATATATATATATATATATATATATAAACCAACCTGTGAAGCTCAAGAGGGACATTTATTAAAAAAATGTGTTTCTCTTTTCCACCCTTTGACAATATATTCGCCAATAAAAGCAACAATAGTAATTTTGTATTGACAAAGACAAAGCGGCTTACTGAATCATGGCAGACTGATAAACTCTTTCAATATCTTTAAAATAAGATCGGCTTTTATAAAGTCGGTGGGCTGTTTACCTTTCACTTACATCCAAGCACATGTGGCAGAACATACATACATACTTCACGTGCCTTTAAAATAACCAATAGCTTATTGGAGCAAATTCCTAACACACCACCAAAGCAGGAGCATGATGTTTGCACAAGCTACTCCCCCTCATACGTGGAATACTTGTACTACTTTACCTAAACAACAATTAACGCCTAGAGGCAGCAGAAATATAATAAACACTTGCTGTAGTATAAAGAGCAGATCTGAGAGTAAACAAATTGGAGCAAAGAAAGAATAATTTATTAACCAATTTTGCAAATAACAGCTGTGACATCGTTAGATAAACTAATAGAGTGTCAAGTTCTAGGCAATGACATTCGAGTAAACAACAATAGTGTTGCAATGTAAACAAAAGCCAGTATAATTACGAATATAAGCTGAGAAGCAGAAAAAATTCACAAAGAAGGAAGAGAATGACTTTATGAACCCAATAATTCAGTAGTAACCAAACGAAGCAAACATCTATGTATATTATCACAACCTTATATAGGTACAATATACCTCTTATGTTGGAAACAGCCCTTCTGTACTTACCGCACGTATCAAACGAAATTTGTCAAAAGTTATGCACGTAGTGACAACGTAGAATTTAGTTATTCTTGTTTGTTTTCATTTGAACAATGTTGTCATTGCTCAATTTGTTCATGATTTTACACAAATTTAGTTTTTTTGCTATAAGTTTTCATAAAGTATAAGCTCAAACCTAAAATCCAACTATTAAAAATAGTCTTCATATTTATAAATAAATGAATTCGACTGAAAATTTGAGTTAGTTTAAGAATATTTCAAAAATACTCTAGTTTATTTTTTGATTACTACAAAATATCGAGACTGGCAAGCTTGCATTGCAAGGGCACAAATAACTGACTAGGGGGGAAAAATCCAATTTTCGCGGATAGTTCTGTACTAGCGGACGGTAGAAATGGTGGTGAGTGTTCATTTACGTTGCGTTCTCATAAGATAGGTCGTATCAACAGAGTCGGTCTACGGTTATGCGTCGGTGACTGTTTCCAGCATTATAGCCATGCCTCTTGTTCGACAAGTGTTTGTGTTGTTCATTTCCGCATTCACTATGGCGATTACAAGCACGCAATTAAGTATGCTCCAAATCTAAACGCTTCCAGCAAAAGATAATGAACCACAAAGTTTGGCTTTCACACATCAAAAGAAGAATGCGTGGATTGGAATTGTATCGAAAATATTTGTATTCGGTCGCATTTGATGTGGGTAATGAAGCGACCCGGATTCTTTGTATTGATTGCCACAACCCGTTATTTGTTTATTGTTTTTGCCACTTAATTAGAATGAGAGAGAGAGAGAGAGAGAGTGCCGTTGGCTAAATAATTGGTTTATCCAGCAGTTGGGGGTTTGACGAAGACAATTCATTTGTAGTACTTTATTCGGGTTTTCTTTTTCATTTAGAGATAATTAATTATATTTGCTTTATTGCATAATTTAATCTTATTTTTAACTACTGGAAACTCTTTAAGCTTAAGATATTGAGTTCATCTTCGATTTATCGAATAGTCTTACAAAAAAGTCCCAAGCTTCCTCTAAAAAATTGCAGAATTTTGAACCACGCTGAGATGTCAGTTATCAGATTTCGGTCAGAAATAAACCACTTTCATTCTAGCGCAGAATAGACGCATAACTGTGTAAAGAAAATTTGTAGTTTAATTCCCCAATTCTGAACGAACTCTGCTTTATGTGGGCATTAAGGCCTATTTTTCTGGATTTTGCTGAACTTGTTTGATGTTGCAGTGGTTTTATTATGTTATTAAAGATAATTTAACGGTTTTTGTTGCAAGTGTGCGTTTCACTATATCGCCAAAACACGCTATCATAATGTACTCGTGGCATACTCGCTAAGCTATTATACACATTTACGTGCGAGTGTAGCACCAATGATAATTTGATATTTTGAGCGTCATAAAAATCATAACATGCACGAGTGCTGGTGCAACACGTACATGCCACAAACTTAATCTACGAGTTTAAAAAATGACAGCGTAGAGCTGCGGCTTGAAACACAAGCCAGCTAATACTTGTACATTGGCATACAAAGGTGTACCTATCGCAGTGATGTGGCATTTTTGGGGCACACCGCATCGCAGCGAAGCACCGCCTACTTCGCAGCGGGGTGAAAACGGTTGTGTTGTAGAAGGATTAAAAGATGCTCGCTTGGTTTTGTTGAGTTCTTTAGTTATGTGTGTGTGCGAGTGTGCATGTGACCTTACCTGAACTGCTCGGCGAGCATGTATAATTTCCAGAATCGGCTGGCGTTGCCTTGGCTATCAATAATTTACTGGTCCGTGTCGAACGTTCCGTTATGACGTTGATGCCGCCACGTTGTGAATAATTCATCACGCGTTTACCCTTATACCAATATATGAAGGATGGCGGTATGGGCGATTGCATGGCGAGACAGGTGAGATTTATGTCACTGCCGCTTTTGATGAAAAGTTCCGCATTGCCAAGAATTTTTGCTCGAGATACTGTAAGAAAATAAAAGGTGAAAGCACCGTCAGGAAATTAAAAGTAAACACATAGTTACGCACATATATACATGTATGAGAAGCAGTTGGTTTAAAAATCAGCCACGAAAGTTCTTCAACTTTTTGGCGAAACGGTAGCATCTACACAAAAAAACAAAAACTCTGCGCTATTGCACTTAAATGAGGGGTTGAGAAGGACTTTATTGCTGTCTATAATAGCCTTGCAGCTCGTTCTCTAAATTAGGTGTTTCGACTATATTTTGTTTAAGTGTTTATTTAGCTACTTGAAGGACGGGAGTACATGACATGTAAAGTTTTAAAATTATAGACATTCCAGCATTTTATTTTTTTAATAATTATACAGCATTGAAATATTTCTTATTTTTATTTGAATTTCGCAAATTAAAAGATACAAAAGCCATTTAATTTATTCACAAATATAATTTGGTTAGTCAGCAATAGCGCAACCACCTGTGTAGTAAGTGTTGCAAATACTTATATATATCCACCAGTTACGTACATCTACACGTTTAAATCTATTCATTACTCACCTACGACATTCAGTCGAAATCCTTGACTTATCTTCGGCTCAGTGGACACTTGACACTCATATGTGCCAGAATCTCTTGGCTGCGGCGACGATATTCTCAATGTCCACTCATCGGAACCCTCGGTGTGCAGCGATTGGAATCGTTGGTCATTTGTGTAGGTGAGTATGCCGACGGTGAGTATATGCAGGTCACGTTTACGTATCCAAGACACCTGCAAAGAAAGCAAACAATTGCTGCTTAGAACTACTTGAGAAATTCAGCGTTCAACTAAAACACACATTTAATGGTTTGAATTGAAGACACTCGTTTATGATTGCTAAGCACTTAAACCAGTGCGATGAAGGAGCGATATTGCAAATACTTTCAGACATTTAACAACTAATCTCTTATGGAAAAGTCAAACAAAAAACAAACATGCTTTATTTCAGTGCAATGACATGTTTTAGCATTCATTGTGTTTAATCAAAAGTCACCCAAACTTAAAAAAAAAAAAATCAGTTATATAGAAATATAACAATAAAATTAATAATAATATTAAATAATTATAAAAATATGGAACTATTACTAAATTGAAAACTTTCGTAGTTCAGCCTGTTGGCATAATCCTGTTTATAAACCTTTCCATGCATATTTCTTTGTTTTTCTGCCCACAATATACGAGCACGCGTATATTCTACAATTCGTAAAGGGTTATATCCACTTGTAATTTTCAAAAAATCGATTATTTGCATTTTTCGAATGTACATATATTTGAAAATATTCTCCGAAAATTTCAAGACAAATAGCTTTGGAGATATAAACGTATTTGTTAGAATTTTTTAACTTAGTGTATTGAGCACCCCAAATTCTAAATGCGTTTTTCGCGAAACGCTGTTTTCGTGGTCGGTGAGAAAAATGTCTCTGAAACGGCTGAACATTCTTAAATATATCTTTCAGGCAATGATCGAAGAAATAAGATGTTTGACAATAGTTTCGATTTTTAAGCCACTTTGAATTAAAATTTTTTCACAAAAATTGTTTTTTTTTTAGTTTGGGCAGCCGCCATTTACTCAAAAATTAAAGCTTTCACGATTTATTGGATCATTACCTGTATTCATCTATTGTAATACTAAATTTCATTGGTTTTGGTTACAGGTAATTTGACGGCGAAATATCTCCCTCACCGCCAGACACCTTTTTCTGGAGGCCCTCTGAAGATCGGCTATAGAAACAAGGGGATCCAAAACCTTAAAAATTAACCGCTAATTCTAAAAGAACATTAAGTTCTCTTTATGTTAATTTTTTTAAGTCGTTAAATAAATAAATTGCCTTCGGGAATATGTATAAAAAAGCTGCACATTTCTTATTTTAGATGTTCGCGTATATAACATTTTGTGTTCTCCTTCTAAATTATAGTATTAATAACTGTTGAATGTCTGTAGTTCAATTTAGCAAATATAAAATTTCTAAATTCGATTAGCTGCGCTTAACATGATAGTGATATTTTATGTTCATGACCAAACCTACGCCAAAGGTTTCGAAAATTAGTTTATAGACGTATATATGGCTGATAAATTAGTATTGTTTTAAAAAACAAAAAATTATCTTTAACTGTTTGCTCGTGTAAGCGCTTAAATATTTGAGCACATGCTGCCAAGCTCAATCCCTTAATTGCTTTGCGGCTCACGTTCAAAATGTCATTATCTATTAATGCCTATAACGGCCAACCTAGTAGCCTACGCTACTCAAGCCAGCAGCTCACATGCACTTATTTATGTGTCTAATTTTGTACAAATCCCAGTAACAAAGTGTGCAGAAAGCAAATACAAGCCTGACTCATTGACTTCGATACAAAAATTAACTAGCCGAAAGCGCCCGATTGTACACTACAGTTAAGAATCGATGAAACAAACATTACTAAATTTAAGTAGGATATACTAGACAATATATGTTGGAAGCTATCTGTGATTAATCACATGTTTATTAAATTCTCTGCTGGGTATAAGTTGTGGCTTTACAGTCTACACTGGAGCGTGTGTGTTTGTGTGCTTTTATGTGAGCGCTTGTTTAGTGGCTGACCCTTCACATGCCATGCATATTTTAAGCCTTCAATGCGCTTATGCAAATTTTATGGGCCGATAGTGTAACACTTCAATAACGCTGCCTTTTTTTATTTTTCCTTTCATATTTATTTTCATCTCGCTTCCTCTACGAAATTGCTGCAGCAGTGTGATATTATGTGTGATGCCACCTCTCTTTTCTGTATTATGCAGCAGCATCTATTGGTTTTAATGGCGAATTGGTTGTCATAAAATATTACCTAAAGCATAAAAGGTGCAACCTTTTCAGCAGCGCACGTGGCACATACACAGGCATAATCTTTTGTGTGTGGACTACCAGTGTTGTATACTAAAAAAAGTATATGAATGCTCCCTTCCTCTGCGCTATGAGTTTAAAACCTATTGCTTCTTTTTTCATTTCAAACATTTTTTATGTCTTCGGAGTTCGGTAATAACTTAACCCCCGTTCTAACATGGTAACCTCCATTGTGGCAGGGCATTGTGCCGGCGAAATTATGCGGCGCTAGCAGCAAATTGAGCATCTGAACACATGCGCTTAAATCTACAGGATAATAGGTCTCTCTCTGTGTGTGTGTGCTCCCGAAGTGAAGCACATATATTGACGACAGTGTAAGGCAGCTCATCGATAAGTAAGTTATGTAAACTTTCCTTACAAAAGGTATTTCATACTTGAACTGTTTGGCAATAAGAAATTCTGCTCGCTTTGCATAAATTGATGTGCCATTAATAAAGAACTTTTATGAGTTCGCAATCCAAAAGAGATAAAACCAAACTGCCAACACTAAAGAATTTTAATTTCATTTTCACATGATTTCGTTATGACTTGGTAGTACGTAAACGACCATTTCACGACCTGCACTGAACTGGCTAGAATTTTCAACGATTAAAGTGATAATTGGGAGCTAATAAATTTATAAAAATGTCTGTACTATTGAGTTTTTCAATAGGGATGATATGATTTCTAAGTGTCGTTTCGGCCATTTTTAGTATGCTATGATCTGCAATTTTTTTTTTCATTGTATTCAGTAATCATTACAATTTCATAATGGAAAGATATAACAATATTTACAAAACAACGTTTACAAATTAGAAAATTTTATTATCAAAATAATGGTTCTCCGATTGCAAATTTTCGTGCGCTTTTGCCATCTCCGATGAGGCTTACTTTCATCTGAGTGGTGCGGTAAATAAACTGTCGATTCTGGTGCGAAGAAAAGCCACAAATTGTGCATGAACAACCATTACATTCACCTATAACAGTTTGGTGGAGTTTTTAGTCTGTTGGAATCATCGGTCCGTACTTCTTTTGAAATGATTCGTTACTGTCAATGGAGAGCGGTATAGTTCGTTGACTACCAACTTTTTATGGCCGCAATTTGAAGTAGTTGATCTTGACAACATCTGGTTCCAACGAGACGGGGCTACGTGCCATGCAGCACGTGCAACAACCGATTTATTGCGAGAAAAGTTTGGAGATTCGAGTATTTCAAGAAATTGTGACAATGAGTGGCTTCCAAGAAGTTGTGCTTTAACACCATTAGACTAATTATTGTAGAATTATTTGAATTCATTGGTCTTTAGCAATAAACCAGACTCTCTTCAAGCTTCAGAAGTCAATATGGAACGTGCTATTCACGAATATTCCACTAAAAATGGTGGAAATGGGAGAACGAATATGAAAAACTCTGCACTTTATGACTTTATACAGAATATATCGATTAATTAGTGAGATAACTGAATAAATGAGCATATTTTTCTGTTAGTAATGTGTTGATGTGTTTTATAACGTATGTATTGGTCAAGATGTAAAATATTTTAGAGTCACCTGCTGTGCTATCGCGGCACAAACAAAGAGTATATATCGTAAATTGATTATTTATGGGATATTTAAAAATACAATAAATCTGAGTCAGCCTTGGGTTATCTATTATCTCATTGCTGATAATTGTTGTTGCGAAATCAGTGCTTTAATATTTATATTCACAATCATATGTAAATCTACCATTGCAATGGATTGCAGTTATTAAAATAAATTTTAACACATATCCGTCTGTCTGTCAGAGTACTTTATCGGGCGTTTGCAAGTAAGTGCACAAATGAGGACACAGAGGGAAGTGTGAACATTCTATAAAAATTTCTTAGTCTGCACACAGCGAAAATACAATGTAGGTATATAGCAAAATGCTGTTGTTGCGCTAAATTATTAGTTTATATTAAGTCTTTTTCTATTATGTGCCAAGGTGAATGCGAAACCGCAGACAGATAAAAGTAATAAGTTTATTCACAACCACTTGCACAAACACAAATACCACTTTACATTTATATCTACATATGTGTGTGTGTGGTTTGAAGTACTGGCGGGTGCTTGTGCAAGCAGCAGCTGAGGCTTCATAAGCCTGCTATTGTGAGCGCTTTAGGTATGCCAGTACAAGTGCTTATATATACATATATACACGCGCGTATTTAAGCGAAAGCCTGAAGCAAATACCGCAGGGGATACTTTTGGTTTGTTTTCTTCTTTACTCGTATTTATTTGTGTTTCGTTTTCACTGCACTCTATTGTGTAGTGCCGACAAAATTTAAAGATAACAATAAAATGTGGTTTTGCCTTTGTTGGTTGTTGCTTGTGCGTGCCTTGGCGATTGTGATGTTGCCACAGTTTTCCGACAGCGCGTAAGATAATGCGCGGCAATGCTCTTATGTGCCTGCAGCGTGCATTTACAGATAGACAATTATGTTGGCGGCCACAATATATGGAAATAAACATCTACGTGCATTTTCGTGTGGCTTAATTCTTTTGTGTTTCATTACTTCCTCTTGATCACTTCCTTACGCATTGTTTTCATTGTGCTTTATTCTCTCGCTTGAATTTTTTTTTCTCTTATCTACTTCGCAGTTGGTGTTTTGCAAATTACTTGCGAATGGTGCAATTACATAATATTGTGGAGAGACTTTACCTTGAATTTTAAAAATAGTGCCGTTGTACAATTTTATACAACTTAGTGAATGAAAAATGCTTAAGTCTATGTGCATATGTATTTATATAGATTCACCCCGAAGTGATTGCAAGGAAAACTATCTTTTATTGTAATTTCTGGAAAGCTCTTTTATAAGTCTAAAGGTAGATACTATGCCTTGAGCTATTATAAAGCTATTTATACTTAATCCTAAAAGTAACGGCAACTTACCGCTCTATCTCCTAAATTGCGTACGCGACAGTGCAACAGCGCTGCCTGGCCCACTGTCGCTGTCACTTCACGTCTCGATGAGTTGTCAAAGTAGGGCTGAGAATAGGGAGTTTCCCAATAGTGCGGCGGCACATCTCCACATATTGTTTTGGTCTCTGTAAATTGAAAAGCGCATTTGTTGTTTTAGGTGGAAACATGATTTCTTTTTAATGAATTGAAAAAATAAAAAATGTTGTGTGAAACTTATTGTGAATACAGTTACAATTTATTTTTTGTCCTTATACACCTGATACAAAACAAAAATCAGCAATTTTTTTTTTTGTTACTTAAAAATTTTATGAAAATATAAAAAGTGCTTCCCGCGTAACATAACAATAAACAAAGTAGCGGTAATTGTACATTATAAATATATTGCGTGTGTAAAAATTATATTTTATTATAAACAATTCGCTTAAAAGTACAAAACTTCTGCTGGCTTATTGATGCTCTTTTCGAACGAGTGAACACAAGTAATCCATGGAAATTATTAAAATAATTCATGATTTTGTTTTACTGTTGAAGTGACTCTTTCTGCTATTTATATATGTTGAAAATGTTTACCTTGCCAAAACTCCACATCGAACAGCCTACCCGACGGCAATCATTTTCATACAGCCGATGCTCTTTTCAAGTTATGTTCGTATATGCACCGTAGCAAAACCACAACCCTCGTGCTTTTATTACATCGACACCAACAGCCGACTAAAGCTCCGATTAAAGGCAACCAAGGAAGTGAAAAGAACGCAAATTATTCCTGAATTGCATGTAATCTGAAATCTTGAAATGCGATGTGCAGCCATAAGGTCGGAAAGATCCGTCTAGCATTACACTGTTAGCATTCGGCCTACGAGATGTTGAAATAGTCCGCGACCAGTGACGCCCTTGAGATGAGCACAAACCAAGCTTGTTTGCTTGAACTATTTTTAACTCAGAATACATCGAAACCTTTGCGAATTTAAAATTGTGTAACAGACAGCGTAGATGCAAAGCTTTTACTTACACAAGAAATGATTTGTAATTTGTACAGATTTCAAATATTATCTTGCATTCTTTAGTATTCCGGTCCAATCCTACTTATCAAGTTCTTCATCATCACCATCAAAATGTCACACCTGGCGTATCTGTAAACCTTGCTATTAAAAAATAATTAATTTACGCTCCAACAGCTCACCCTCCAGGTCCTTTATTATCAGCACATACTTATAGAGAAGCAGCACGTAACGGTGCACCTTTTCATGTCATCAAGTCTCATAATCGTCAAGCAGCTTTCCCAACTCTCCAAAAATTTACACACGAACGCATATCTGGATGTTCATGCTAGTATTGCTATGGCAAGTTCATACCTACATATATATACATATATCCACTTGGAATCATCGCAAAGCAGTTAAGTTTTATTCACAACGAAATTCTACTATGAAGCAGTGTTGGGGCTTAATTCAAAGTATTTTATGGGTTTTGTCGACGGTTTGCATATCAGAATTTAAGTTGGCTTGGCTTTATAGGCATTAAAGATGTCGTTCAAAACATTTGTTGTTGTGTTTTTTGCAAATAAAAAGCTCAAAATGGTGTTTCGAGGATAATTTTATGCAGTGTAAATTGAATTTGTTCCACGCATGGCAGACTACGCTGTTAGCATGCGTGCGTGTACGCCGCCAATGTTACGTATACGCAGTGTGTGCCTTAAGGCCTATTCATAGGAAGGAAGGTAGAGAAGTATGCCAATTAATTGAATAGGAAATATTACAATCACTCAATATCTGATGACTACAAACTGATTCGGTGTGTACTTAACTTTGATTCCATCAGTACTAGGCTAACGGTAATATATAGGCTAAAATTCTTATTAATCAAAACCAGCTCTTTTTATAAGGCCACTTGACTAAAATTCCAAAGGAATAAGCTATGGTCTGCTGATGTAAACCAAGCAGATTAAGCGAATTGGTAGCCCCTCAGCTGACTAAGTTTAAAAATTTGAACAATGAATAAAAATAGCTAATTAAAAAAATTTTATAATATATGACATCTAAGTGTTTGTGAAATTTGCAGCTGCTTTAGTAATTATTTTGTACTTGTTTTCATAGCTTATAAATAAAAGTATTTACAACATTTTTTTACTGTATATTCATATATTAGCCTCAGGTGGCTTTTATTAATTGCTTTTGTCATTTTAATTGCGCTGCGTACAGCCTACCATTACGTAACATATTTTCTTTGCTGAGCAATTAAAAACGGACTGCCTCAACAATTACTTCATTAAATATTAAAATAAAAGTAGTGAGTATTTAAAGCGCAAAGCCAGTAGGCCACCTCAAGGGACTCACAGCTGCCAATTTCACATTTTTTGAAAAAATGTACATACTTAACTCAGCGACGTTGCATATTTGTAGAAACGTTTTTATTTCCTCTTCTTAATTCTCAAAAAGTGTACTTGGCACAAAGCGCTCGGTTTATTGTGCATTCATCTAGCTTCTGTTTTGGTGTTGCTCGACTTCGCTTCACCATTTTTGTCCAGGTAAATATCCGTTCTTTCACTCTCTCAGCACAGTCAAGGCAAGGTCATGAATATCTATCGCTTTTGCTTACTTTTCCATTTGTTATCACTTTTCTGCGCAATTTTGCAACAGTGTTTGCTTAAGTTCACCTCAATCCCCAGGAGTTTGGTTTTACACAAGCTTCCTTTCACATTTTTTGTTTATTTAACTTTTTCTCTTAATTTTTTCTATTTCTCAATTTCTGCTGAATTGTATGTGTAGCTTAAGGAATCGTACACTTCGTATTCAATCCTTATTGTTTTTCAAGCTGATTGCTCAACGTGATTCCTTTATGTCTGCATAATCATATTGCTGTGGCTGGACAACTTGGCAATATATCCCGCAAACTTCAATTTTATGCCACTGTTAGCGAAATGAGTTTTGCAAAACCAAAAATAAAGACTAAAGAAGGGCAGTACAGTGCTGCTTTACTTAGTGAACTTCAAGTGATGAACTATTACTCACTGGTTGGTAAGGACCCTATACTCCATTTAATGGACATAGCAACATCCATAATCTTAATAATTTACCGTAATTTAAAAGAACAAGCATACATATGCAGTAATTAACATTTTTAGACCCGCACTATTAAGGGAATATTATCATGGTAAACCCCGGAAAATATAAAATAATATTGAAATGAAATTTTGTGGCATTTTGACGACAATCATATCTTATTTATTCGACCGAGAGATCTTGAGGTGACACATCACAAATGAGAGCCTCTACTTTCTCTCTAATGCTAACTGGACGATTTGTGAATACAATTTCCGCCACATACTTTCTCATTTCCGGTATCGAAGAAAACGACAACTTTTTAACGTAAAATGCACTTGATCAAATTTTTGTGTGGAGAAAAGAATTAAATGTAAAATTCACAACATGACGTTTAAACTTCAAACGCATACCAAAGTGAACTGTGGTTTTTGACAAAATTGAAATAACAAGAAAAAAACTCAAATAAACACTTGTGGTGTATATGAAAAACAATATTGAAGCTTGTTCTAAATGAATTTTTCTTGGTTATTTGTATTAGTTTCCTTTATTAAATATGCATGTTGCTTAATAAAGTAGATAGATAACTTCTTTCCTAAACACAAATAGATACTTGTATGTATGTTAATACAATACGCTACTATTTTTAGTAGCGAACCGCCGGAACTGTTGACCTATTCAGCATGCCTTTCCTCTTCTGCTTCTCACGTTTAGTTTCGCAATTTGCATTTCTAAAAACGCTCATATTTCGACGCAAGGGTGCAACTTCGAGGCTATACCATAAAAGCACTTAAACACATTTATGTTGAACACGAGTATGCGAAAAACAGCGAAACTGACAGTAGTTACAACTACAATGTCACATTTAATTTAGTCGAATTTATATTCATGAGCGAAAACACACACTCTAGTTAAAAAACGGGCAGAAATCTCAACGACAGTGCTGGTACACTGTACATACATACATACATACATATGTATGTGGCAGTTTACGGCACTGCCAAACAAGCAGTTGGTGACATACTTCCAGCGAATTCCGGGCGGAGTTCATGTGTTTGCGAGAATATGATCGCCTGTAAGTGCTGACACACGTACAAACAAACACAGCAACACTTTTCTGGGTTTAATGTGCACAGCTAAATGCACGTAAACAGTTTCATTTATCAACACATTTACCCGAACATATTCACCGTAAGGCGAGCGCTCGGCTGCACACATATATACACAATCACGCTCGAGTGAATATCATTGCTGCAGCTTGATGCTGACGTTTCCACTGTAGCCGGTATCATAGTCGGGGCAAGCAAATAAAACAGAAAAAAATCCAAATTAAAAACATCAACATGGAAAACTATAAAAACAACAGTACTATAAAGTGATGACACACAGACGCGCTACTTGAGCATTTCGACCTAAATTTCCCAACAGTAGACATTTTCATTTATCGCCACCGGTGGACGAGAGCAGCAGTCGGTCTGTCTGCCTGTGTGTTTTCGTTACTTTCATTCTCTACTGTGATGTGTGTGTGTGTGTGTGTGTGTCCGATTGAGTGGCAAAACTTTCTTCTCTGAACTGGCCCAACAATACTCAGAGCGTTGCACTAAACAGCCCCTCAGTTGTTGCAGCATACCGTTATGTGACTATGTGACACAGTTGCTGCAAGTAAAAGTGGAAAAAAAGGAAACGCTTGTATCTAAACGCTTCCACTTGAATGTGTCGCCTCGCTTCATTGTATTTTTTATGCCATTTTCGTGTGAGTTCACTTTAGTTGAGTGCCGTTTGAGGCTATTGCTAGTCGCTAGGCCTACTTGGCAGCGTCAGGCTACTCACTTGAGAACAAAGTGAGAATGAATGTCACCAGCAGCAGGAAATATTGCCCACTATTGTATTTCCGTTGCGTTTCGTTGCAGCTGCTTGCGTGTAAACACGATTAAGTGTGCCAACCTCAACCTGCCAAATAACATACTTTGAACAGTGTTTAGCAAAAATGTAAACTCAGGGTTGTTATATGCGTTTTCTCGTATACTAGCTTCAGTAGCCAACAGTAAAGCAAAATTCTAAAATACATATAGTATTCAGCGCATGCATTTCGGCAACTATAATCTAACTCGCATACATACACACATCAGCATTTAAAGCTTCTGAGCATTGAATAAATATCCACGCAAATTTTTTATCTGATCTCAATACAATCATTGTAATTGTTTAAATACGCAAATACTTCACGAGCCTCATGCTTTTGGCGCTGGTTACATTCAACATTGTATACAAACACTGTACAAGTACGTATATACGTATATACATTAATGTGTCCGCTATTTCCCAAGTTGTTTGTTTTGTTTGTAAATGCCCCCTGAAGTTATAGTTTTAGCCCTAAAATAAGGGTGCATCGTAGACAAGCTCTTTATTTTTAATTTAGACGGTGTCTCAATTAATTTTCTTTTCTCATGTATATAACATGCGATTCCTTGATATTTTGCTTTAAGAAATTAAATTTACAGCTTTAAAATGGTAATACTCTAATACCAAAATTATTGTTCTTTAAAAAAGGTCTTAATAATTTTTTTCATAAAACCTTTCGTTTAAAAGTTATACTCAGTTAAATTTATACATCAAATGACTTGGGCATTCATGCAAGTGCCTTATAAATTCTATGTTACTCATACGACATGGTATACTATATGAATACAGTACATTTGATGCATATAGTAGTTCAACATTGACCTCGAATAACTTTGACACAAGTACTTTTTGTGAAAAATGTCACAGAATGTTTTTGTAGAGCGTTCAATTTCCTATAAAAATAATTCAATGCCGCAGCAATGTATAAACTGGCTTCGCAAAGAAAAAATTAATTGCAAAAAGTACGAAAACCCTATGTTATTTAAATGGGAAATGAATCGTCTTTGCGGCACGCGTTATTATCACTATTAAGAGCTCTAATAGGTTTCATAATTTTTTTAAGGCATTTACAAAAAATTTTGGGGGCACTGCAGCGTCAATAATAAATTTGGGAAATAACAGGCACCCTAATATACAAAAGTGAGTAGGAATTTCACCATGTGTGAATTTAATTCGAATAAATAATTACACCAAGTAAAAATATGTACATAAATTATGTATATGTTTTTCTCGGCGGATTTACAAATGTACTATTATACACACATATGAAGTAACCTATTTATTACATCAAAAACACACATAGGTTTCATAAAAAGGCTGCAGCTGAAATAAAATATTATAGAAATCCTTCATAAAGCTATTAAATTTGCATGAAAAATTTCAAAAAACTTGTAAGATAGGCGGCAGAGCAAAAGAAAGGTTCAATCCCTGAATGAAAATTATTTGCGCAAGCGCTCCATAGGGTAAGCTGATGTTTTGCACAGTTGATGTATATGAATGGCACTGCTCGACGACATTGAACAATTAAATCGTAAAATATATTGATATTTGGAGTAACTTATATTCAGCGGAAATTTTTATAGCGGATTTGTTGCACATATTCAGAATTGTGGCCAACTGTATGGGTCTTTGTCGCCTTCGTCGTGAGTTAGTTGTATTAAAATACGAAAAACTACACGAATTAAATAAATTTTTGCAAAATAATAAAACGTTGTAACTAAAAGTCGCTGTTCTTTAAAGCGATGCATATTTGCCCGCACTTATGTAAATTTTGTAATGCACTTATGGCATCTTGATGTGAAATTATGTTGAAATTATCTTCATGAATTTTCAATTTAGACATTAGGTGCACATATAATAGCATAAATTTACCCTAATGTCATAGCCAACAGCGCACTGCTTGCTTTCCACATTTTCTCTCAAACAATTTTACTTTACTGGGTGGCTTGCAGCTGCGCACCGTGGTGCTGTCAGGCATTCCAGAGGCATTCGTGCAACGCAAACGATGCAGGCAGTTCCTGCTAACTGACTTTCCACTTTGCGTTAAACTTGAGTTTTTATTATTGCTTTTTTTTCCAGACGTAGTTCCCTTACTTTTTTCACTTATCTCACGCACACTACTGAAGCGCCTCGTCAACTTTACTGCTGGCGTCATGCTTGCAACATGCTGTGCTGCAATGTTTTCCTTTAAGAATTGCCCCTTTTATTCACAGGTCCTGTTAGTTTATAAGTTGCTTTTGGTAATTTAATGCTACTTACAATGTAGTTGAGATACTAGATACGTTAATACTCCTCGAATGAAGGATATTTAATTCATATAAGGAGAAAACCAGGGCTGTTGGAGGTATTATACGCGGTACCATATACGCATTTCTTTTCGCCTTTTCCGCCCTTTCGTACTTACCGTCCGTACCAAATGAAATTTGTCAAAAGTTATGCCCGCAGTGACAACATAGAAATCAGTTGTTCTCGTTTATTTTCACTTGAACAATGTTGCCATATATGGATGGATTTGCACATATTTAGCTTTTCAGTTATAATATTTCATAATGTAATAGATCAAAACTAAAATCCAACTATTAAAAATCGTCTACTTATCTATAAATAATTGTATTCTACTGTGATGTTGAGTTGTTTTAAGAATATTTTAAATATACTCGTATTTAAGTTTATTTTTTAATTACCACAAAATATCGAGACTGGCAACACTGCGTCGTAAGCGAACAATCAGCTGACTCGTTTCTACGGGATACGGGATACGGTCTACGGTTTTACGTCGGTCATTAACTGAAGCATTAGTTACTATTTTAATATAATATTTGCACTAAATTTTCAACACTTTAGTCTTCGCGTGCTCTTACACTTACACAAATGCGCTGCGTATGTGTGTAAATCCCAGAGTTTTGTGCGTTTGAACAACTTTTTTATGTCATTATATTATATACGAGTATGCATGTGCTTTCGTTAAGGCACTCGTGAAGCGCATTCACTCCCATTTTATTCACATACATAAATACATATATTTATTTATTCAGATCAGTCAGCCTGGCATACATACATATTGTTAAACCAAATAGTATTTCGTTAATTCCAAAACGGTGTGTGCGCCTAAAGCCAAAGCTGTGGCAGCAGAGCGAATGAAAGCATTTAAGTGCCGCATTTAATGAATGCGCACAGCATAAACTGCTAGTATATATGTATGTATGTATGTATATTCATATGTGGTACTAACACATACACGCTCATCACTTAAACAAACAAGGCGCAAATTGTTTTTTGTTGTTAAATATTCAGTAAATTCGAGCAAGGCGAGTTGAAAATCTATTTACTACAACGAAATGTGTGCAAAGCAAGAAGAGTGTTTAAATTTAATTCAATTACTTGAAAGGGATTTTAATTACGAAACACTTTGCGCAAATATTTTTCCAACTTTTTCTCTTGCTGGATTTGAAAACAATTTTGTTTTGCACCGCTTGCCGGAATAAAATTGCAAAAGGGATATCTTAAGCATTCTCTAATTTGTAACAGTTTGGTGTTAATGAAGTGTAGTAAACACTAAGAATACTTCTCATTATGAAGTGCTAATAAGAGCGGAGCACCCTTAAATAAAATGAAAAAGACAAAATTGCTGAAAATTACAGCAAAAATAAATAAAAGTAGGCACTCTTCAGCGTACAT